GTGTCCAGACCCGGACTTCCCTGCATTTAGAAACAGATACAAGAAACAGTATCCCTATATTTAGAAGTGGAATAGCAGTAGCATAGGTGCAGAGAGCATAGACTATACTGTGTTAATTCCAGAGAATCTGTAAGAGAAATTGACCTGCAGGTGATTTAGGTTAAAGAACCGAGACTTAGTAGTATATGAGTATAGGAATATACCAGGCGAACATTAGAGGCGTAAATGAGTGAAAACCTTCCTGCTGAAATCCCGTTTATTTAAGTGAACCATATAAGAAGACTGATGAATCATGTACATTGATAAAGTGAAATTTAGGCCTCGAACAAATTAGGGGGACCAATACAGAGAGCATAATTCCTAGCTTAGGGAATATGCACATCATATAAGAGAACAATGTTTCATGACATTCAAGCTTAAACCAGGGGCCTACACCAAAAGAGTGTTTAGAGGTGTATGATAGAACTGCATGCAGAATTACCATAGTTAATTAAACCAAACACAGAGTATCACCAGATATATAAACATACACATAGTTGGATTACCTATCCAAAGTATTATGATAACCAGCTATTTATTTAGTAAAATGACATGTTGTTATTCATGAAGTAATTAACCTTATATTCTACATGACCACTAGAGGTAAGTATTTTGTCTCCAGACAAGTTCCTGGTAAATTGCAAAAATCGTGCGGTTAGAGTATACGAATTTTTACAAAAAATGCTCTATCCGGCCATACGAATCTTTGCACGAAAGGCTCTATGCGGCCAGAGGACTTTCGTGCTGACTAACTAAAGGGGGATCATACTTTGAAAAATACCAATTATTGCAAACTCATGCGAACAGTCATTTGTATGAATGGCTGTAACAGGAACTGAATTGAAAAAGTGTACGAACAGATTAAAACAACCGTTTGGGAGTTTGAAACCGAACTGACCATTAACATTGAATAGTAACTTTGTGAAACAGACCGAAACAAAATCGTTCGGTAGTTAAAGACGAAATGATAGAAACATTAAAAAATACACAAAAGGAATATGTGAACTGTATAAATAATTGAGATAGAAATATATAATTATAAGAAAAGCTCAACTGAAGGTGGGTAAAAAGTAATGTGGTATAAAAAGTATATCCACAATAAAGATAATAATCCCAAGGCACACCAAAATGAAAACCCCATTTATCCTGCTCTTGGTCAGTATAGCTTTTTAATGGGTGTTTGTGTAACGGACCGTTTAGCATAAAAGGGGAAAAAAACGCTTAGACGATAATCCCCTTTTCAGAGACAGGCACAGCTACTGAATAATCACCAAAACTCACGAACCGCCAATAAGTGAATGCTCCAAACTCTCGTCACAGTTTGCATTTAGTACTTTATTATTATTGTGGTATTGGTATTATAGATTGGACATGCACTACTTTATGCACTTTCTTTCTGTCAAAACCTAATGATGTATCTTCTATGCATGAATAAATGCATTGTTATGTGCAAACTTAGGTGTGCCTTGGGTTTATTATTATCTTTGAAGAAATTGAGATAGGACTGACCCGTGATGATGCCGTGGGACTGTGACCACGCCGCGACAGTTAGGTCAGTATCTTACGGTTTTGGTGCGTTCCAGGACCTGTCCTCGGAGCTGCCGGCCTGGAAGTCTGAAAAGTAGATGTTTGCAAGCCGAGTGCCGCAGACCATTGGAAGACAGCAGGAACAAGTAAACCACGTAGTGAAACAGGTAAGCTGTTGAAACACAACTCAGGAGGAGGTAACAGCTTTGAAACACAACTCAGGAGGAGGTGCAATGCCAGTGAACCACTCATGGACAGCTGTTTTGTTGTTATTTCAACTCATCAGCATGAGATAGGTTACTGGCTTGTAATGGATGCTTGGCGTTACTTGTTAAGTACATGCCAAATAAGTTGTGGTGGGCAAAAAGTGTGGCTGAAAACCCCTTCCACCTGAAATAAGTGGATAGTTAATGAAATGTTAAACACAAATACACACACCAGGCAAGCCATAAGACTTGCTTTTACCACAGAAATCTCACTTTAACAGTGCTCTCACTACTGCAAGGGATTCTGGTTAAAACATACTTTGACAGATAATTATGCAAATATTTTCATAAGAGAATGAAAAAAAAAAAAGGTAAAGCAAGATGAACACTCCATGAACCATAAAACGAAACATAAAAAGTGAAGCAATCAACATTTAGGTGAGAATTCCCACACCAAAAATATACGTTGTGCCAGCAGATGGCGCTCGACGTTCATCAAATCAGATGCTACATTGAAAAAAAAAGTTGCAGGATGCTGCAATGTTAATGGCACTTAGAGTGTTCCTTTAAAATAAGCTGTATCAATTCAGTGAGAGAAATAGTGTAATTAAAATATTGGGCAGCACTGTACACAATGCCCGATCCCAAAATGGCATATCATTAAGAAATTATGTGAAAGGATAGAATAGAAATGTGCACACTATTAAAAAAAAATGACAACGGCAACAAATTTAACATATATCTGTTTAAGAATTTTGCCTTCTGTTTCCAACACATATATAATAAGAATAGTCAAGTTAATATATAAATAAATAGCAACTGTGAATTATTGGTGAATAAGTGGTCACATTGCTTCTATACACTGCGTACAGAAATGATGATTTCATACTTTCCTTATACAGCCAAAATAGGATCATAGGTACCTCCATTGTACTTCCACATTGTGGGCAACTTCAGCGCTCAGGCATCGGCAAATGCTATGCAAGGGCACCTGCACTCAAATTAATAGTCACTCCACCACAGACTGAAATAGTGTTATGGATTTCTCACTAATAAGGTGATAATGCCCCCACTGGCACCTGTTGTGTCATCAAAATCCAAAGAACCAGTGGCGTACATACCTGGGTCGCAGGGGTCGCGGCTGTGACCGGGCCTGGGCCTCCAGGAGGCCCGGCCGCCCTGCGGCCTGGTATGTACACCAGTGTGGCCACATTTTGCCAGCCTCTTCTCCTGGGGGGCCCAGGAGCTGGCCACCTCAGGGCCCCCCCGAGGTTGGCAGTGGCTTCTGTTTGCCGGCGGCCGGGTGGGCACGCGCGCGAGGGAGCACTCTCCCCTGAGTGCTCTCTTCCCAGCTCCCTCGTGCACCGCACTGATGCCGGAGCCGTAATATGACGTCATATTCCGGCTCCGGCATCAGTAAGCAGTGCGAGGGAGCTGGGCAGAGAGCCCAGCAACCCCAGTGACAGCAGGACCCCAGGTACAGCAGGAATCTCCACAGCACTCCCAAAGGTAGGGAGGCTGGGGGATTAAATTAAAAAAAAAATGTGAGTGTGTATGTGTGTTAGTGTGTGTGTGTGTGTTAGTTTGTGTGTGTCAGTGAGTGTGTTACTGTGTGTGTTAGTTTGTGTGTGTCTGCTATTGAGTGTCAGTAAGTGTGTTAGTGAGTGTTACTGTGTTTGTGTCACTGAGTGTGTTTGTGTGTCTGTTATTGAGTGTGTGTCTGCTAGTGAGTGTCAGTGTGTGTGTGTCAGTGAGTGTGTGTGTATGTTACTGAGTGTGTTAGTGTGTGTCTGTTAGTGAGTGTGTGTTTGTCAGTGAGAGTGTATGTTTTGTAAGTGAGTGTGTATGTGTGTCTGTCAGTAAATGTGTGTGTCTGTTAGTGTGTATGCGTCTGTTCGTGAGAGTGTGTGTAGGTAAAACCCCTTCAGCACTTACCTTTTTCCAGGACCGGGGATCTCTCTGCCCCGATCCGCCACTCAGCTCCGAATGCGCTTGCGCACATTCAAACCGCCCATAGGAAAGCATTACTCAATGCTTTCCTATGGAAGTCCAGCGGAATCGCGGAAGCGCCTCTAGCGGCTGTAAGCGAGACAGCTACTAGAGGCTGGATTAACCATCAGTGAAGCATAGCAGTTTCTTTGAAACTGCTATGTTTTCAGCTGCAGCATTAAAACTAGAGGGACCTGGCACCCAGACTACTTCATTGAGCTGAAGTGATCTGAGTGCCTATAGTGGTCCTTTAAGTGTATCTGCATGCACTGGCAGCACACAGCGGTCGCAGGGGTCGCAGCCCTGCGACCAGGTGCTTGCCGCCATGTGTAGTGGGGGGGGGGGGGCACGGATCAATTTTCGCACCGGGGCCCCATGGATCTTGTGTACGCCACTGCAAAGAACGATTGTCAGGTGTCAGCTAACTCCTCAGTCAGCAATTCAAACAAACCTGCAGCAGAATGCCGGACTCTGAGAGGTAATAGTAAATAGGTAATAGTAAAAACACAGTTTGTCTGAAAGCTCTAAAACTTTATTAATCAGAGAAACACAAAGTTAAAAACAGGTGCAAGCTGAGTCAGCCACCCCACCCAACGCGTTTTGTGCTTGGTAAAAAAAAAAAAAAAAAAGCATAGCTGATTCCGAGAATATTTTTTAATTCAGCTATTTTGACCTTAAATTTGAAATTCACTTTGAATTCCTGACACACCTTTTAAAATCACATTATAATCAATCCTCATCAAGAACTAGACACAAGTCAAGCCACTCCAAAAGCTCATAATCAGAAAAACTCCTGCTGACCAATAGGCTAACTCGACAGCATGTAAATGTACACTCTATTCCCCACACGTGAACAAAAAAAAAATCACATAAATAAAAAAATTAAAAATACATTACGAAAGAAATTACGTACAATACAGTATCATAGCATTTGTTTGCAATTTAAAGTATCACTTAAGGCACCATGATTTGAAGTGATCATGATGCCCGAAGTCTGTTTTTGCAGCATTCTGCTTTGAAACGTTGCACATACAGAGATTATCCGCTTAACTCCCCCCTTAATAAATGTTAATAAAAGTTCCTCTTTTGGATTTTTTTCTCAGGACTGGTCCTTTGAATCACCAAAAATGATTTACCAGAGGTTTTTTTTTGTTTGTTTTTAAAAAAAAAGGATATTTATTGTATTACGTAAAAAAATTATTATTACACAAGTAGTTTTAAAATGCAATGGTCCTACGCATTTCATTCTCACATGAGCACTTCCCCAGGGACGCATTTAGGTAAAAACAATAATAACAATGCAATACAAAAAATTACAGCCTAAATACACCTCCCCATAGCTTTCTTTATATAGAGCTAGCCCCTAGAGAGTCATTCATGGATTAGTGGGTGTCCTTTCATCTGACCTCCGGATTCGTTGGCATCCTAGATGTCTTCGTTTGTTGTAAATAACACTTCCCGCTGCTTTTTTCTCTCCTGCTTGTCGGAACTTTTGTGACTCACTTCTGTGCATTCCGCATCTGAACGTCCGCCAAAATGTCCGTGCGTTCCAGCTGTTCTTAAGAGCAAATGTATACCTTGGCGCTAGCTCCCCTCTTAAAGAGGGAAAGCTTTAATTTCTACTAGTAAACTTGTATTAATAATCAATCTTTGTGTTGTATAATAAAATAAATAATGTGTTCAAAAAACAATAATAATATCACCTAAAACCAATTGTTTTCTTAATTTTCTGGCATAAGCCTTATGTTTTAAGTGTTTGAGTAATAAGAATATATACTTCTACATTTTAAATTTTGAACTAATTAAAGACATATTGGTCTATTATTCAGTTAATCATCATTGAGATTTTATACATCATATAACATTTCATATATCATATGACTATCATAATGTGATTAATATCTTGGAGGAGGAAAATCATAGCTTTTTTTTTGCCTTAATTGGTTAAAGATATATAAATCTAATCACTTTACTCTTAAAAAAATTATTATAAAAAATTATAGAACAGAAAGTCAACCTTATATAATATGGACATAAGCTCATTAGTTCCTCTTCCATCTACATCAAGGAAGCATATAAAAAAGTGCAATAGAAATAAAGTGCAATAAAAATATATAGATAAATTGCAATATAGTGCCTTTTATAAAGTGATCTGTGATATTATTTTTTGTTGTATACACTTTGGATTATCTACTAAATAGATTTATTATTTGTATCGAATATCTTTCAAGATACAAATAACTGGCTTGTAATTACCTATTTGAACCATATTATAAACTAACAGATTCACCAAGAAAGAATAACCTAAACATATAAGGAATGGATACATGGCTATAGGAACAATTAATTTAGGAAACATGCCAAATCTGTATCTATATATTAATTCCTTTTGGGACTAAAGTCTGCATTTTGTGTATCCAGTAAGTCTCCCATTGTGCCAGTTTTGTATCTCTGTCTCCCCCTCTCCAATAGGGCAGGATATTTTCTATACCGACACAACGGAGACCCTTTAAATGAAACTGTGGACAGTTGTTGCAATGTAATGAGACTGAATGCGTTTTTTTTTTTTTTTATATATATGTTATTAATGTGCTCTAATAATCGCACCTTCCATAATCTTTTTGTACTGCCTAACGGCCTATGTATTGCACCCCGCATGGGCATTGAAGTAGGTACACTACATAGCTCGTACTACAATCTATTTTTGATTTTATAGGGAACTTTTGTCCCATTGTTGAACTTCTAAAATTGGTAGTTTTGATAATGTTATCAGAGGAACATGCCTTGCATTGATTACATCCTTTAAATCCCCTAGTGTCCATTGTTCTTTGATATTTTCTTTTTATGGCATAGCTTGGAGCCAAGAGATTTTTTACATTTTAATTTTTCTTTAAATAAGAGATGGTTGTTTAGGTAGCCATTCCCCTAATACAGGATCCTCAAAAAGGATTGGCCAAAATTTGCGAAGAGATTTCTTAATTTTGTAATGATCTGTGTTATATTGAGTGATATAGGCTTGTCTGAAATTTCCCCTTGATTTTTTTCTTCTTTTATTTTCCCCCACTGGAGGATCCACCGGAGGCTCTTTTCTGTTCCTTTTTGACATTGTTCAAATTTTCCAATTTATGTTTTTTGAGGGATATCCTTTCTGTACAAGTTTTCATTTAATATGTTGTGCCTGGACTTGAAAGTTTTCAAGGTGGGAACAATTACATCTCACCCTGGGAAGTTGGCCCCTCGCAATCCCCTTTAGCCAGGGTAGATGATGCCAACTCTTTTTGTGGACGTAACTGTTCCCATCTGTCGGCTTTAAAAACATTTGGACCTGATTTGATTATCCTCAGCAACCAGGGTGACATCTAGGAAATGTATCTCTCCTTTATGCCATATAGGAAATAATTTTAAATTATATTCATTACAATTCAAATAGTCAACAAAAAATTTAATTCTTCACTAGATCCCTTCCAAATTATAATCCAAATTATAATCACATCATCAATATAATGCCGCCATAGGACCAGGTTGTCCCTCCAGCCATGCCCCAACCACACAAAAAGGTCTTCCCACCTCCTCATGTAGGTGTTGGCATAGCTGGGGGCAAACCTGGTACCCATGGCATTACTTCTAATCTGTAAATAAAAATAACCCTCAAAGAAAAATTAATTGTGTTCTAGGATGAAACGAATGCCCATTAAAAAAAAAAAACTTTAAACTTTGTGAGATCTCATAAAAATAAATAATTGATTACTCCAATACCAAATCATGACTAATGATGGTATACAGTGAGGTAACATCCAGCCATTCCCTGCCATTCTATACTTTCCATCTCCTGCAAAAAAGACTTTGTGTCCCTTCTGTATGAGGGGGATTGTTGGGCATATTTCTGTACATGAGTCTATAAAGGCTGACAAATTGGCCATTACTGAATTAATGCCACTGATTATGGGGTGTCCTGGGGGGCATATAGGTTTTTGTGGATCTTGTGGATAAAGTAAAAAATTGGGATAACTGGGGCTTTGCACCATAAGAAATCAAAATTCTTCCTGGAGATAACTTTCTCCTCTTTGGCTGCCTCCAAAAATTATTTTAATCTTCTATTAAATATTTGTGTGGGATCATTTAACAGTCTTTTATACGTTTCCTTTGACACTCTTGCACATAGAAGGCTTATCAATAAACTGCAATCTTTAAGTTTGGATTCCAATATTGTTGAATGGGTAAGGCACTCCCAGCCATACCAATCTTCCTATAATTCCAATCTGTCACTCCCTGTCTGACTCTCCATCACTCCAATTTATCCATCCCGCCCAGTGCTTCTATCACGCTATCACTTTATACAGCTGGAAACCCGCGATCGTGTGTGTCTGCGCACTCACAGCTCAAACATTAAAGAGTCTTAGTGAGAAACCTCTGAGTGGACTGAAAGTCTGTATTGGTGAAAGAGGGGTGAGCTTGCAAAGACTACAGACAGCAGGTCTACAGCTATGGCATTTTTTTTTTTGTTTTTAATTTTCAATAACCCCCAAAGCAAACTGTCAAGGAAAAATACATCCATATCTTGGGGACATATCTACCACATAGTTAAAAAAAAAAAAAATATATATATATATATATATATATTCAATACAGTGTTACTTTAAGAACAAAATAATTACATATTAGGGCTCTGGAGACCTGGTTTTGAGTGTTATGTTCACGGATGGTGACATGTTTCTGTAACCTGTGTGTATTTAATTAGGGCTTTCAGTTCACTCTCCAGTACACTTGTTGTAACTTTGCATGTTTTGCAGTTTCTGCCTCTCATTATCCCTGTGGAAGGGTGGCGATCTGGTTCTCGTTACTTCATCTGTTATATTATTTTTATTAGTTCTTTATCATTAACTGGTGGATGAGGGAATCAAGAAGCTGTATATGGATACCTTGTTCTTCTGAGTACTGAAACACCAAGATCATGGCTACTGAAAACCTTGGGGACTCCTTGCAATTAAAGCTGAAAAGTCACAGATGTCTCTACTGTCCGGCAGTAGGTAGCAAACTGTGTCTAGATTGTGAAGCCTATCTTTGCCGTGATCACCTAGAGGCACATAATTCGGTAGGACAGCACACCCTAACTGATTTGAGCACTGACATGCAGACAAGAAAGTGTGCTACTCATCAAAAACTCCTAAAATATAACTGCTGTGTGGATAATGTTTATGTCTGTGAGTTCTGTGTTGTACTTGGTAATCACATAGGACACAATATGGAATTAATAAGTGACATGGTCATGGCTGTGAAGTCGTCACTTGAAGAACTTTTGGACAATCTGATCAAGAAGTCCAAAGAATCTGAAAACCATATTCATGAAGCAATGGCCAGAAAGGATAACACCCACAAAAGAGCTGCTGATCTACAAAGACAAGTCACTATGCTGTTTACAGATCTTAAACAAGAGCTTGAATGTGAGGAGAGGAAGATTTTGAGAGAGATCACAAATCAAGTAGACGAGAAAGACTTTAATATTGCTAGATTTTTCTCTAAAAAGAAAGAAGAAAAATTTAAGCTTAATGCCCACGGGGCTAAGATCAGAGGTATTATAAATTCTACTGACCCAATGACCATTGTCGAGAAAGGAACTCAGTCAATTAACAAGACCAAAATGTTAATAGACGAGGTTCAAGGCAAACTGGAAGTTACAGGATTGAATGCGTTATTGGTAACAGTGCATTTAGAATTTGGGCTACTCAAAGTAATAAAACGCATTCCACAACTTCAAAAAAAACATGGTTTTGCAGTGCAGAATGTAATCTATATAGAGCCGATGAATGCCAATCATCCAACTGAACGCAATGCATCTGAACCTGGAAGCCTGCTGGACTCATCAATGAATCTTAAGGAAAAAGATCGTAAGTATCTGGCCTCTAGCTACTCACCCATTTCATCAGGACAACATTATTGGGAAATAGAAACCAGTGACTTGCTAAGTTGGAATGGTGAGGTGTCTAACTCCCAAAACAAAAGTTTTGGGAGATAATGACGATTCATGGTGCATGTGTTACTATAAAATGGGTAAATATGCAGTTGTTAACAATGGTGTAAAAACATAAGTGAGTACCAGCTCTCCTACTAAAGCTCTACGAATATATTTGGATTATAAAGCAGGAAACTTGTGGTTTTTTTCAGCTGGTGAACCCCATCAAACACCTACATACAGAGTTTGTTACCTTTACCTCTGTTTATGAAAGGGGCTGAATAAATTTGAGATAAAACACAACTGTAGCAAATTGGTTATAGGTGATGCATTTTTAACCTGTTTCTGGGTCCAGGGAGCCCAAAAAGCACTGCATCCTCTATGTACCTGAGGATGGGGATCTAAGTACTTACAATCTGCAGATGTCACAGACAGAATAACCCTGTATGTATATTTAAATTGTCTGAGGAAAGAGATCATGAAGTGTGATTAAAGAGATTGTAAGGGCTGATAGCGTTATTAAAAATGATGGGCTTAGAGATAAGAGAAATGATCAAGTAATATGGAACAGGTATCAGGACTGGAGGGTTAGAAAGACACAAGTTATGGCTATAGCCACTGGAGAATTATGCAGGAAACAATCTGGGGAGTTGCGATGTATGAGAGAAAAAGCCTTGCAAGAGAGATTAAAGAGAAAGAAAAGAGAACAGCTGCCTTGTGAGGAAAACAAAACTGGATGGAAGAATTGCTATAAAAAGAAATGTTGGTGAAAGAAAAGATAAAAGGAGACTATTGGGCAGACTGGTAAATATTACAGGGAAAACAAAATTCCATTGTGTGACACATTTAAAAAAATGTAGGAAGTTGAATAGAGAATGGAAAACGTAGACGAAAGACAGAGGGAGAGAAACTGCGGGAACAGGGATGTATCCGTTTATAAGCCATTTACTTGATTAATTATTATTATTGCATCATTGTATAAGCTTGCGGATTTATGCAGTAATTAGTGAACTGATACTAAGTAGCAAAAATTAAACACTAGAACCTTTAAAAAAAAAAAATGACTTTATATTATTCGCTAAACGGAAAATGCTAGGAAATGACCAGGGACTGGAAATATAACCGAAATGTAAATTCCTTCATGGCCCAAAAATTTATTCACAGGTCAATTCCAAACAATTCACAGTGCACACAACCATTTATGGGATCAGTCGGTTTTAAAGGAACACTCTACTCGTCTGAAGTACTTTAGTTTGTACTTTTTCTGTAATGCTTTATGTGTGAAGGGTGTGCTCTATTTTTTCATTTGAAAAAAGTGTAGATTTCAATATAAGTTGTCACTTTTTTTTTTTTTTTATAAGTTAACCTTGTTACACCCCACCGGCTGTCAATCATACAATCAGTCCTGTTACTCCCTAGTTGTTTAGGTCAATGGAACTAAATGCAAGAGGCAGCAATTGCCCAGAGCACCTGCATTACAAAGACTTCTCATTGAGCTGCACTGGGAAGTCTGTGATTGGACAGTCACAGAAAGTTTGGGCTGGGTTGGAAGGGGAGGAGTTACAAAGGCTGCAGACATTTAAAAATCTGAAGCTTTTGTACACTGTTTTTAGATAAAACTCATAAAACTAAAAAAAAAACACATACTTAGATGCATGCATGTTTTCATTAGGAGTATATCTACTGAGTAGTGTTTTGTTTCTGTTTTTTTTTTTTTTATAATATACTGATAGTTGTCACTCAACCGCATTTGTGAATGTGCTGCTTGTATCAGGATTACCCCTCATGAAAATTACCCTAGGTAAAATCTAAAAATCATATATGGTGCTATCGCAATGACAAAAAAAAAAAAAAACTCACTAATTATCCTTCATAAGTGTGTTTGTTATTTAGGAAAAAAAAATTATTATATATTAAATCCCTTCAAATGAGGGAATTGACGTCCAAACAAAAAAAACATACACAACACAGAAATACCTCCTGTGTGCAAACCGAGTGCATATAACCAAAAATATAACGATTACAATCAAAATGCCCAAGTCATAGAGCTCCTCCATAACAACCAATACAGAAAATGACTCACATATTGGAATACATGTATATTACTTTGTTCGCTTGTATAGTATATTTAAGTCAAACAGCAACAATAGCAAATTCTATTCCTTTACATACGATTGATAAATATCAATGTATACAGTGAATAGAACTGAAAATAACCTGATCTGAGTTTGTCATGTGCTGAAAAGAACTTATCCGAAAAATAAGACGTCACTCCTAAATATTGAGATAATCTCAACAATCTTACTTTTTTGCAGATTTGACAGTTTATACACCAGAAAAAGGAACACAGGGTAAGAAACATGAATTGGGAATGCGAGGTGCGGCCCATCGCTGTGCTACAAAGATACTGGGCCGATTATACTGCAAAAAACCTTCTCATTTGTCAACTTACCCTATTTCATTTTCTCTTTTATTCTTTTCACTTGTTTGCTTTTTTTGTTTTTGTTTTTTGCATTACTGCAATACTGAATGCTGATTGATAAAGGGGATAAGAATAATTATCTCAGCATTTAGGAGTGACAACTTGTTATTTTTAGATAAGTTTTCCAATAGATGACAAACTCAGATCAGGTCACCATAACTAATGCAGCTTAAAGGGATACTATAGGCACCCAGACCACTTCAGCTCATTGAAGTGGTCTGGGTGCAGAGTCCCAGGTCCCTTAAAGGGACACTATAGTCACCAGAAGAACTATAGTTTATTATATTTGTTAGGGTGAGTTTAATTGTGACAGAAGCTCCCATGCTATGGCCTTTTGGATAGACTTAAAGGCCAGCCTCTTACTCACTGACTATGGATCTGGTCCCAGAAGTCCCTAAAAGAGGTTTGTGATAGCAGCAATCAATGGACACGTTATTTATTGTTAGTTTGATAACTCTGCTGCGCCCTCTGCTGACTGACTGGAGAAGTGTGTTCATTTGCATAAACCCAGTATGAAAATGAGAGCAACAAAATAAGTAGTTGAATGTATTTATTATTGCTTTTTGTTGTGTTTGAAAATGTTATTGGTATTATATAGTCATTTGCTAAAGTTCTATGTATTTATATTTTATTGATATTGTCACAGCAATCTAAGTGTAATGAACATATGGGTTAGTCCGAAGTAAAAATAAAGCTTTGTATGCTAGTTCCTTTTGTGTCCTGTGTGGATTTTTAGGGATCGCAGTAACAGAGTCTTTGGAGCTGTTGGCTAGCTGCACGATCCCTCTAGCTTTGGGATAAATTGAGAGAGCTAGGCCTGAGAGTCGCAAGTGCATTTGTAAAGGCAATAGAACTCCCATTGCAGGCAGAGATGGATATCTTCCTGGAAGAAGGGCTGCAGCAAAATAGACAGAGGGCACCATACCTGCCTGGAAGAAGGGTTGCAGCGGAATAGCAGAAGGGACGATACCTTCCTGGAAGGAGAGCTGAAGCCTGGTCGGGTGGAAATGCTCCATAGAGACCCCAGTCAAACCTCGGCAACTAGGGTTGAAGCATTACAGGCTCCCTCTCCAATGGCTACGAAGCAGATTGGGCAGAGGCAGGGCCGTCTTTAACACGGGGCAGCTGCCCTGAGCCCAGTTACTCCTGGGGTGCTTGAAGCAGCTGCATCGTGGGCCCCGCTGGCCTCTACCATTTGTGTGTGTGTCAGTTTGTCTGTCTCTATATGTGTCAGTATATCTGTTAGTGTGTATATATGTGTGTGTATCTGTATGTTTTCTTTGTGTGTTTCATGTATCTATGTGGGGCTCTGTGTATTTGCATGTGTGTCAGGTTGTGTATCTGTGTGTCAGTGTGTATATTTGCCTGTATATCTACATGTGTGCCAGTGTGTATATCTGTGTGTCTGCATGTGTTTCAGTGTGTATATATCACTGTTTGTGTGCATATGTGCATACATCTCAGCATTCACACACTAACACTACATACAAATACACCCCTGCATTCAAACTTCAACACTACGTACAAACACATGTCTGTTACACACCAAAATTATATGTAAATACACCCCTGCATTCAAAAACCAACATTACACATAAATACATGTTTGCAGTCACACCAACACCACATACAAACATATTCCATACAAAAACCTGTTTACATTCAAACACACAAAAACTGCTAAGTGCTAAATACAAACCTGCAAACATGGGTAAATGGTAGAGCCCAAGCTGTCAATGCATTTATGGAGATCTACCTTTTAATCACCCGTGCGATAGGAAGGCCCCAAAAAATTCTACCACCTATCTACTTTAGGTCCGCCATTGCATTGGGGTGGAAGACGTGATTGCACGCCTGGGGAGGGGGGACAGGGTCCAGGGGGCCCAAGCAAATGCTTTGCCCAGGGTCTAGTCAATATTAAAGATGGCCCTGGGCAGAGGTACTCATTCGGAGTACAGGAGCTCTGTCACAATAATCATTCTCTTCAGGCTTTTGCAGTAAGCACTTTTTTTCAGAGAAAAGATAGTGTTTACATTACAGCCTAGAGACACCTCCAGTGGCCACTCCTCAGATGGCTACTAGAGGTGCTTCCTGGCTCATCCGCATGGAGACACTGAACTTTCCTCATAGCCATACATTGATTCTCTATGATGATCGGCCAGGGCTGTGTTTGGCTTGTGCTGGCTCTGCCCGTGATCTGCCTCATTGACAAGCTCAGCCAATCCAATGCATTCCTATGTGAAAGCGTTGTGATTGGCTGAAAGAATCACTTCTGATAAAGTCAGCCAAACAGGCAGATCACTGGCTGAGCCAGCACCAACAGACTACAATAGAGGTAAGATTTCTCTATATTTAGGGGGGAAAGGAGGGGCCACTGGGGCTAGATGGTGTTATTAACACTATACAGGGGCAGACTGAGAGCCTTTGGGGCCCCCAGGCAAAATTAGATCCCAGGCCCTTTGAAGGCCAAATATATGTGCATTAAATAAATGTTAAATAAATATAACTCTCCTATAATACGGCATTCCTTTGAAGATCTGTGTATCAATGTATGTTTGTATTTGAGTCTGTGTGAATACACTTGTAACAGGTGACAGAGTGTGGGGGTACCCGGTGGCAGAGTGAGGGAGGGAGGGGTGACACAGTACGGGGGAAGGGGTGACAGGTGACAGAGGGAAGGGGGGCGTGACTTGTGACAGAGTGAGGGAAGGGGTGACTAGTGACAGAGTGAGAAACATAGAAACATAGAATGTGACGGCAGATAAGAACCATTCGGCCCATCTAGTCTGCCCAATTTTCTAAATACTTTCATTAGTCCCTAGTCTTATCTTATAGTTAGGATAGCCTTATGCCTATCCCACGCATGCTTAAACTTCTTTACTATGTTAACCTCTACCACTTCAGCTGGAAGGCTATTCCATGCATCCACTACCCTCCTAGTAAAGTAATACTCCTGATATTATTTTTAAACCTTTGCCCCTCTAATCTAAGCTGTGGTAGTTTTTCTTCTTTTAAATATAGTCTCCTCCTTTACTGTGTTGATTCCCTTTATATATTTAAATGTTTCTATCATATCCCCCTGTCTCGTCTTTCCTCCAAGCTATACATGTTAAGATCCTTTAACCTTTCCTGGTAAGTTTTATCCCGCAATCCATGAACCAGTTTAGTAGCCCTTCTCTGAACCCTCTCTAAGGTATCAATATCCTTCTGAAGATACGGTCTCCAGTACTGTGTACAATACTCCAAGTGAGGTCTCACCAGTGTTCTGTACAATGGCATGAGCACTTCCCTCTTTCTACTGCTAATACCTCTCCCTATACAACCAAGCATTCTGCTAGCATTTCCTGCTGCTCTATTACATTGTCTGCCTACCTTTAAGTCATCAGAAATAATCACCCCTAAATCCCTTTCCTCAATTGTTGAGGTTAGGACTCTATCAAATATTCTGTACTCTGCCCTTGGGTTTTTACGTCAAAGATGCATTATCTTGCACTTATCCACATTAAATGTCAGTTGCCACAATTCTGACCATTTTTCTAGTTTACCTAAATCATTTGTCATTTGGCTTATCCCTCCTGGAACATCAACCCTGTTACATATCTTCATATCATCAGCAAAAAGACATACCTTACCATCAAGACCTTCTGCAATATCACTAATAAAAATATTAAAGAGAATGGGTCCAAGTACAGATCCCTGAGATACCCCACTAGTGACAAGTCCAAACTTCGAATATATTCCATTAACTACAACCCTCTGTTGCCTGTCACTCAGCCACTGCCTTACCCATTCAACAATATTGGAATCCAAACTTAAAGATTGCAGTTTATTGATAAGCCTTCTATGTGCAGCAGTGTCAAAAGCCTTACTGAAATCTAGGTAAGCAATGTCTACTGCACCACCCTGATCTATATTTTAGTTACCCAATCAAAAAAATCAATAAGATTAGTTTGGCATGATCTCCCTGAAGTAAACCCATGTTGTCTCTGATCTTGAAATCCATGTGTTTTTAGATGTTCATCAATCCTATCCTTTAACATGGTTTCCATCACTTTCCCCACTACTGAAGTAAGGCTTACTGGCCTATGGTTGCCCGACTCCTCCCTATTACCTTTCTTGTAAATGGGCACAACATTCGCTAACTTCCAATCTTCTGGGACTACTCCTGTTAACAATGATTGGTTAAATAAATCTGTTAATGGTTTTGCTAGTACACCACTAAGCTCTTTTTATAGCTTTGGGTGTATTCCATCAGGTCCCATTGACTTATTTGTCTTTACTTTTGACAATTGAAATAGAACCTCTTCCTCTGTAAACTCACGTGTAATAAATGACTCATTTATCCTTTTTCTCAACTGAGGTCCTTTTCCTTCATTTTCATCTGTAAATACAGAACAAAAATATTCATTAAGGCAGTCAGCTAGACCTTTATCCTCTTCTACATACCTTCCTTCTTTTGTTTTTAATCTAACTAATCCTTGTTTTACTTTTCTTTTCTCATTTATGTAGCTAAAAAAATATTTTATCCCCTTTTTTTACTGACTGTGCTATTTTCTCTTCTGTGTGTGATTTGGAAGCTCTTATAACTTGTTTAGCCTCTTTCTGCCTAATCTTATAGATCATTTTGTCTTCCTCACTCTGGGTTTTTTTATAATTCCTAAATGTTAACTTTTTGTTTTTAACTATTTTGGCCACATCTGCGGAGTACCACAGTGGTTTCTTGAATTTTTTGCTTTTACTGACAAGCCTAAAGCAATTTTCTGTTGCCTTCAATAGTGCAACTTTTAAATAATCCCATTTTTCTTGGACTCCATTTAAATTGCTCCAGTCTGATAATGACTCCTCTACCCATATTCTAATTTTAGAAAAGTCTGTTTTTCTAAAGTCTAAAACTTTTGTTTTTGTGTGGTGTGACTCAGTCACACCACACAAAATTAGTGACAGAGTGAGGGGGGGTGACTAGTGACAGTTAGGGAAGGACTGACTAGTGACAGAGGGAAGATGGGGGTGACTAGTGACAGAGTTAGGGAGGGATAGGCCCCTCCTCTCTCACTCTGTCACTAGTCACCTCCTCCCTAACTCTGTCACTGTGTCACCCCTCCGTCACTCTGTCACTAGTCAACCCATCCCTCCCTCTGTCACTGTGTCACCCCATCCCTCCTTCCGTCACTAGTCACCCCCTCCCTCACTCTGTCACTAATCACCCCCTCCCTCCCTTACTCTGTCAGTAGTCACTCCTCCCTCTGTCACTAGTCACCCCCTCTCTCCCTCTGTCACTCCCTCCCTAACTGTCACTAGTCAGCCCACTCACTCTGTCACTAATCACCCCCCTCACTCTGTCACTAATCACCCCCTCCCTCACTCTGTCACTAGTCACCTCCTCTCTAACTCTGTCACTGTGTCACCCCTCCGTCAATCTGTCACTAGTCAGCCCATCCCTCCCTCTGTCACTGTGTCAACCCATTCCTCCTTCTGTCACTAGTCACCCCCTCCCTCACTCTGTCACGAGTCACTCCTCCCTCTGTCACTAGTCACCCCCTCAGTCTGTCACTAGTCATGCCCTCCCTCACTCTGTCACTAGTCACCTCTTCCCTCCCTTACTCTGTCACTAGTCACTCCCTCCCTGTCACTGTGTCACCCCCAACCTCACTCTGTCACTAGTCACCCCCTCTGTCACTAGTCATCCCTCCATCACTAGTCACCTACTCCCTCACTCTGTCACTTGTCACCTACCCCCTCCCTCTGTCACTAGTCACCTCCTCCCTCTGTCACTAGTCACCCCCTCCCTCACTCTGTCACTAGAGTGAGGGGGTGACTAGTGACAAATAGTATTAGTAGAGAAATGACAATGTGAGTGAGAGTAATAACACAGTGATAGGGAGAAGTGATGAAGTGACAAGTAGTAATGACTTACAGTGACAGAAAGGAAAGGAAGAGTGACAATGACGAAAGAAACCAAAGTGATGGGAGAGGGTGAAGTGACACAGTGAGGAAAGTGACTTATGGCTGAAGAAAAAGTGACACAGTGACAATGAAAGAGGTAACAAAAATGACACGATGAAAGAGGTTTGACAAAAGTGACACAGTGAAGAGAGAAGTGACAATGACAGAAAGGAACGGAAAAGGCTGACAGTGACTTACAGTGGCTTGAAGGGAGAGGTGACTAGTGACAGAGAGGAGGTAAGAGTAACAGAGAGGAAAATATTTACAATGAAGAGGAGTGACTAGTGACAGAAAAATAACACAATGACAGTGAGGAAGAAGGTAACAAAAAAGCTATTTAGTGAGAGGGTGACAGCATTTAAGAAGGAAGAAATATTCTAGTGACAGTGAGGGCCGGGTGACAAGTGACACAGTGAGGAGGGTGACAAGTGACACAGTGAGAGTGACTAGTGACAGAGGAGGGAGGGGCTTGAGAGGGTGACAGTGACACAGTGACAGAGGGAGGTGACTAGTGACAGAGGGAGGGTGGGAGTGACAGTGGGAGGAGGGTGACAGAGGAGGAGTGACACAGTGAGGGAGGAGTGACTAGTAGTGACAGAGGAAGGGTAACACAGTGACAGTGAGGGAGAGGGAAGCAGAAGTGACACAGTGAGGGAGGGTGACTAGTGACAGAGGGAGGGAGTGACACAGTGACAGAGGGGAGGAGTGACTAGTGAGGAGGGTACAGTGAGGAGGGTGACAAATAAACAGAGTGAGGAGGGTGACAAGTGACACAGGGAGGGAGGGAGTGACAGTGATACAGTGACAGAGGAGGGTGACACAGTGAGGAGGGTGACACAGTGACAGAGGAGAGTGACACAGTGAGGGAGGGTGACACAGTGAGGGAGGGGGTGACACAGTGGCAGAGGGAGGGGGTGACACAGTGAGGAGGGGGTGACACAGTGACAGAGGGAGGGAGGGGGTGACTAATGTGACAGAGTGATAGAGTGACGATATCCTACCTTTCTCTCTGCTCCCTCTGGTCTCCCAGGCTGCTGCTCCTTCCCCTTCATTGATCGGGCTCAGTGTGAGAGGAGTAAACAGGAAGTGGCCGCGTGGGACAGGGAGAAGGAGACCTGGCAGAGAGCTGGTGAAGCTGCCAGGTCTCATTCGAGGATGG